GATGCTAGTCCAAAGGGCAGAGCCTTGAGTTGCAGCACCTGAACCTTGTGCACAAAATACAGATAGTGGCAGGATGACTCTGCTATGGGAATGTGTAGATAGGTGTCATCCAAAGTCCTGGTGAAAATGCCAATGTAGAGTGAGAAATGACTCCATTGTGAACCTTGGAGGATCTCCTAATCTCCCATCTTCGGGGATAATGGTGATGGAGATATGAACTGAATGACTAATCCTGACATAAGGACCTGTAGTACCCATGGATCTGTGGTAAAGGTTTTTCACACGTCTAGAAATTCTTGGAGCCGCATCCCCACAAACTTCAAAGGCATAAAGTAGTCACTGCTGCTGCTGGCAGAGTTCCAACTGAGTGGAGGAGCCTTGTGAAGGAAAGTCAAGAAGCCAATGATGACAGGGATGAATGCAGATGGGCGACATCAACCCTTGATTCTAAAGACCCTGGAACACCAGTAAAAATCAAGGGTCAGAAAGAGGGAGCCTCATATAACTCATGGAGGGCAGCAGCTGGCAGACAAATGTCCTCCAACAATGCATATCTACCCAACAAATCCCAACAACATACCAGCCAAGAGACTAGGGAAAGTGCAAAAGCTGATAATCAAACCAAGGTAGATGCCAAGAATGGTCTCAGTTTGTCATCAAATTGATGTGGTGATCTCTGAGAGGCTTCTGACAAAATTTGGAGGAATGATAAATATTTCAGAACCATAGTTAGGGTCAGGTGAATCCTAGAAAATTGTGATCTATCCAGGTTGACCACAGACTCCGTTCTGGAACCTCACACTTGCAGGAGTGGGTCAATTCTTTGAGTCTAAATACGCATCCAATGGTAGGCTACAGCATGTTGTTCCGATAAATGTGGCAGATAAGCTGTCCCTTCATGTAACTGAGCAGTAAACCTTCATGCATGAACTGCAATATCAGGGGATGGAGGGAGAACTAAGTGTTTGCCCTCAGGCCTTTCCACCATCAAGGAAGGCGCAAACTCAAATGCAACTGAGGAAAGATCCAAAACATCACACACTTGATTGATCAACTAAAGATAAGAAGCCAGAGGTGGCTGATCCAAATTGGCCTCATGAAAAGCCAAGAGAGTAAAGGAAGGCACTAATAAAAGTAAATATAAACTCTCACCAGAATATCCAGGATTGCCCACAAGTGCAGCATCAGAGCCCCCTTGAAAAACACCACTGGATCTAACACGTCTCAATCTCAATACTGAGAGTGACTCCCCCTCCAGCTGTTAAGCAATGCTAGATATCAGAGGTGGGATAGGAGATACCTGATTTGCCTCTGTGCCGGAAATAGTAATCCAGGAATCCATGCCATATATCGGCTTGTCAAACAATTTTTTTTCTTTAAGAAAATCAACCAGGTAACAAAGAAGAACACTTAAAGTATCTCCAATAGTTGTAGAACAGAGAAACCTGTTTGTGAACACTTTGTCAAGAAAAAGTGATAATATTATCCCAATAAGGTGCTTATACACAGTACCAGGATAGAGGGCACATTGAAATACATGGAGAGTGTCACAAGACAGGTATTGCCAAGGGCAATTAAGTGGAGAATAAAAAATTGGAGCAAGTGGGAAAAAATCAGACCAACACTTCGATGGGCAAAGAATGGAAACCCTAGCAGTTGAGTACTAGCTGAAGTGGACATAAGTATGTTTTGGAAGAAGTGTTTCCTGTTACTAACATTATTTTAAACTATTTTACTTTTTCTTCCAAGTTCCCAGCTTCACTGTAACTGCATTTACAATTTATTAAGTACATGGCTTACTTCAGAACAAAATGTAGTTGAAATGCTATTAATTCACTCTTGTCATGTAAACTATTTAAAAACAATGTTAAAATTGTCAGTCATACTGTGATATATTTATATATTTTTACATATAATGCACAATCAATGCAGTTAGTTATACAATGAAGCTGACTAAGATAATAAAAACTGAATCATATGAAATCCTATTCACTAAGTATTTCTGCACTTTTCTCAGTGATACAAGATCATTTAGTAGTTATACATTACGAATTAAATGTTTAAATGTGATATGACAAATGTGTAACATACTGTTTATGATGTGCAAAATCAGTCTATTTAAGGTATCTAAAATCTGTATATAATATATAAAAACACTTAAGTACTAATTATAATGATTTGTTTATGTGGAAACTAATTCGCAAGAAACATGCCAGTATTAGAAGATTACTTGCTCTTAAAAACTGAAAAAGATTGATTACTGGCTACAAAAATAAAAACCATTCAACTATGCTTAAACACAAATTTTTTGAAAAAAGTAGTTCCCTAAATTTCTAAATTAACAGAGATGATGCCACAGCCTTATGAGAAAAATATTCCTTGGTAACATTTTCTCTACACTTAAATCTTTTTTTAGTTCTTATTAATGACAAAAGCACATTAATTAAATGAAGTAGTATATTTCATAATGATCTTGGGACATTTGAATTTATCTTTTCTTACAAATTAAGCTTTTTACGAACTTATTAAACAAGCATGGACACAATATATACCAGCTTGGAAAAAAAACACTTTGTGAATAAAATTGAAAAGATAGTAACTTTTTTATGTTAGCATAAAATACCTTAATTAAAATAATATAAAGCAAACATTTCAAGATTTGGATCATACGTCAATTCATCAGTTTGCTTCTTTTTGTGACAATGTCCAATGATAGTCAGTGAAACACAATCTTAATCTTGCATATTCCTGTACTTATCAAAAATCCCAACAATGGGCAAAAAAATTAAAAAATTCTTAGAGTAAAGAATTTGTCACAGAGGTCTTCCCACTTCAGTAATTCCTCTAAATAAAATGCAGACATTAAAACTTTTAGCAATCAAATCAACTAACTTCAGAAAGTTCAAATTTAATTCATACAAACCATATTGGGAGGTACAATGTCTAAAACCATGTCAAAAACATGAACTCCATGTGAAGTAGAAAGATATGGATGAAGAGAGTTTCCTGATTTACTTGTAACCAACATGACTACTCTGGCTCCCGAATCTTTCAGGGCCTCTTGCATACTTCTAAATACTAGGGAAAAAAAATTACTGCTAAATTTTACATGAAACTTGCACCCTACACCTACTTAAAATTTTACATAAATAAGACACTGAAGTACAACTAACATAAAATGATTTAGTAAGAATCCGGGACGCAAAGTTTCTAATGCATTTAGGTTTTAAGTATCTTGTATTAACAAAAGCAAAAATAGAATTCATTATCACTTTTACAGTGCAACTTTATGTTTTTGTTTTTACACTTGGCTAAACTGTTATTATGTGTTATCACAATTATATACTACACCAATGATACAGGGATTTAAGGGTTGGTAATGATGATGAAAGGCAGCAGGAGTTGGCTCAACATAACATGAGGCCATAACACATTTTTTAATGAAACTGCACTAGAGAGATTGATAAAGAGCATCAAGACAAATAACAGATAATGGTATTGTGGAACTTCAGCTAGATACACGGGTAGACTAATTCTTTAAGCAGGTTAAACTTTTAAAACAAGAGAGAGAAAAAAAGCAGTCACAAAAACACACCAACAAACACAACAGACATGGAAATAGTAGTTTAAAACATTTAATATATTTCTAAAATGTGTTTTTTAAACAAAGAAACTTCAATGCACAACAGTTAAATAATGAAAAAAAAAATGTATTTGGATGCTAAAGAAATCAATTAAAAATAGCTTACCTTCAGTGATTTTAACAATGTACTGTCCATGTGGAGATGCTTCTACTTCCACTGAAGCTGGGGCAGGAATCAGTAAATCCAAGTCTTCGAACAAAATTATAGATGGAGCTCTGTGAATGGCATCACAACAAACTCTGTTCCATGCTTTATGAATGCCTTCTATCTTTCTACCTAAAATTAACCCATCGAATACCTTCATCAGTACTAAAATACCTAAAAAAATTAATATATTATTAAGTTAAAAATTTATGGTGTCCAATCAAATGCAAAAGTGATTGTTTAAATTGTTCAGTATTCTGCTATAATTAAAAAGGTTTTGTTTAAAATCATGTTCAATTACATATGATTTAAGAAATAATAAACTAAAGGCTTTTAATGCAATTTTTCCTTCACTTTTTATACCAAAAATGAGCAATGTAGAATGTTCAGCATTTTTTGGTCAGATTTAATTACATACGGTGAGAAAAAGATATTAAGCATTAAACAAAGCTTTTACACTAAAATAGAGATGGTAAGTAGAATACATTTCCACAGGATTGTTTAATATCGTAGACTACCAAAAATTAAGCTTCAGAGACTGTTTGTTTGTAATTAAGCACAAAGCTACACAATGGGCTATCTGTGCTCTGCCCACCACAGGTATCGAAACCCTGATTCTAGCGTTGTAAGCAGACATACTGCTGTGCCACTGAGGGGTGCTTCAGAGACTTATGACAAACTTTTTTCTTCACCATACAAATGGAAACTTATGCTGAAATCAATAGTAAACTCTTCAGGTAAAAGAACTGATGTGTATGAATATATGCTAAATATTTATGGTTCTGTTAAAAGGAATGTAATAAAAATGTATAAGGATACATTATTTATTAAAACCAAACTAATTTTATTAAACATATTTTACAAGCTCATTATACATATATAAAGAAAATCAAGTTTTATCTCTTAGATAGTCTAATTTTTTCTCAGGTTCCTAAAAAACTAACGTTTGTACCAAAGTTTGAATCGCATATCAAATTCTGATAATACTAAAACTAAATAATGATATGAATCTTTTATCACATACTTATACTGCGTAGCTGGTAAAACAATAGACAATGGCTTTGCACTATCTTTTGACTGGTTGCTAGTTTTTCAGCTACATTGCAGTTGAAAGAACTATTAATTTCACCTTTCCATACATAGAATGAATGCATCTTTAATTAGGTATAATCAGGTACATTTCCCTAAATCTTAATTTATTCTCCATTTACATAGTTTTTGTGTCTGTAAATAAGTTGCGCTAATGCTTTAGCTTACCTAAAGGTTAGATAGCACAAGGATTGGTTGGTAAAACTCATGCTTGTTTGTCTCAATTTTTGTGTCATGCCCTCCTGGAATAAGATCATACTCAATCAGGAGATAGTACTGAGACACTACAGAGACATGAACAAGTTAACATAACTTGGGGATTTTTCTTCCTTGGAAAAATATAAGAAAAGTTATCATTGACAAACCTAATTTGCGAGTATGGAATATCATATTAGGACTTTTGTCTGATTTGAAAGTGTGGTATCATCATTATTCTTCATGTAACCAGCTTCTTTACTTCTAACCAACTCCAGCAGTAGTAAAAATTGAGGCCAGCTAGCATAGGTGAAGTCCCAGTATTATTTTATGAATAAATATTTTGTTTTATTTGTACACTCATGGTTATCACTTTTCTTTGCTGTCCATGTTCATTTAGTTCTCTGATTAAAATTTTTTCAAATTGCAGGGTATTCCAGATAATGAGGAAATTCTGTTTTAATAAAGTGTACCTGAATACCACAGCTATCACTTGTACAATAAAATACCTAGCATATAATAAAATAAACTATGGTTTTCATTAGGAGCTGGTGACTGGCATAGTTTGCTGGCTACTCTTCATACTTTCACTGGCTGCTTTAGAATTAATTTCATTACAAAAGTCAATTATTCAGTCAAATTTTCTAGGCAAATAAATACTTCAGACAGCATTTGTACAGGTCATGAAAATCCTGGAAAGTCATGGAATTTTGTAGAAAAAATTGTCAGTACTATAAATCCTCAAAAATCAATGGCTGTTATAATGAAGTCCCAGAAAGCCCAACTCTATTGCTCCTACATCCCCCTTTTTATAATGAAAAAACCATACCAATGTTTTATCCCAGTTTTATGAAAAACAACCTCTGGAAGATGTAACTCTTAAAATGAGAAATAAGATGACTTGGCAACAAAGATTAGTAACGGGCTTTGAACTATGTTCCTCAATTTGTGAACAGGTGCCATGTGATAGTTATAGGTTTGTATGTTTGTTTGTCTGTAGTTAAGCACAAAGCTATACGATGGGCTTTCTGTGCTCTGCTCACAATAGGTATTGAAACCCGGTTTCTATAATTGTAAGTCTACAAACATACCGCTCTGCCACTGGGGGACGACAATTATTGGACTGATATTGTTAGAGCAGAATAAAGACTCATTTGGAAGAAATCTAACACCATAAAATTGTTGATAAGATAAAGAACATGGACACTTCAGAATTTTTGTATATTTCCATCTTCAGCATAAATATTTCAAAAATAATTAACAATGTTTCTAGCCTTATTTCTTTATCAGTTATTGCTCTAAGTTCCTTAATAAAAAGGAGACAAACCCAAATCCAAGTGGCAACTATATAATAGAATGAGTGTCAAAAACCTAATTAACCTACATGAAATAGCCAAGTATTTGCCATTAAAGATAGCCCATCAGCTTAAATCTGTTTAGGTCACCAATTACTAATAAAGTGATAATCTTGGCCAGGATACTTTGAGTGACATTTTTAGGCCCCCATTACTAAATATTTCTGGGAGAATCACAACTGTTAATACAGTACTGTGATGTATGTTATTATTATTATTATTATTATTACTATTTTATCTCTTTGTGTTCTTGTTTTATTTCATTCAGTGCCAATAGAGTATTGTGATATATGTTATTACTATTATTGTTAGATTTGGAATAACATTTTAGGCCCCATTACTAAATATTTCTGGGATAATTATAAGTGCCAATAGAGTATTGTGATATATGTTATTACTATTATTGTTAGATTTGGAATAACATTTTAGGCCCCATTACTAAATATTTCTGGGACAATTATAAGTGCCAATAGAGTATTGTTATGTATGTTATTACTATTATTATTAGATTTGGAATAACATTTTAGGCCCCATTACTAAATATTTCTGGGACAATCATAAGTGCCAATAGAGTATTGTGATGTATGTTATTACTGTTATTGTTAGATTTGGAATAACATTTTAGACCCCATTACTAAATATTTCTGGGACAATCATAAGCGGCAATAGAGTATTGTGATGTATGTTATTACTATTATTGTTAGTTTTTGGAATAATAGAAAACCACAATTAGGTGATACTGTTCATGTTGTGCAAATTGATTTGTTGTTCTGTTGGCAAATTAAAATAATATGTTCAATAAACATTTGGTTTTGGTTACACACTAGAGGAGCTTTTAGCTCTGGCCAAGGTATAGTATTTGGGAGAAAGACACAAGGCTATATCACTTCATATGAAACTGAAGTTGGGAAAAGATTAAATATACTTAGAAGACTGTAAACGAAAAAGAATTTGTTAGTGCGTTGGTCGATAATACATGGTTATTTAGATTTTCTTTTAATGACTTATTTCATGTTTTTCTTTTTTCCATTTGAATCAATGTCTTATTGATAGCTCAAGTGCTATAAAAACAACATATCAGCATAATAATGCACAAAACATTAAAGAATTGACAAAACATAAAAAAACAACTAGTTTTAAAGGTCCAAGCTTGTCATTCTGATTAAATTATGGAATTAAAAACCATGTTGCTACCACCGTGTTTGGTTAAGACTAACTTCTCTGTATGAAATATTATTACAAATTTAGAATGAATTTGATGTCTATTTCAAATGAATCATTACACTGTTCTCAACCAGTGTTAGTGTGTTTGGATGCCAAAGTTATGGAGATGGTGCCAAAGGCACCAACACAAACATGAGCATCTACAACTTTGAATCCAGAAGCGATGACCCTGGAAGCTCTGCACTATTGTGTCACCTGGAATAGAGAAATGTGCCTAAAAACGACTCAGAAATCATCTTGTATAACTTCAATGCTAAACTTTCAAGAGTGGGATTCAAAAATATTCTTCATATTGCAAGAAATCATACTAACAAGCCACCTGTTTATGGGCTAAAATCATCGTTACTTTTTTTTTCACTGTCTTTTGGGAGGCTAAATTAAAATGCAAATAAAACGAAATATATATATAACAAATTATGAGAGAAAAATATAAGACATCATTACATGTTTAATCTTAACATTTCTTAAAAAAAGATGTCACTTAAGATGGGTTCAAAAATGGGTAATGATTATGTAAGTAACTAAATATACATATACACAAACTGAACATAATTTTAAAAAATAATGATTTTAGTATGCACCTATAATTTTAGATTTTTCATGTAATATTAAAATTACAGCTACAAGCTCAGCTACTTTTATTATGGTGTAGTTCTTGATTTATGATGAATCTAGTAACAAATTGACAACAGCTCTAAAACCAACATAATTTTTAAAGTTCACTATGTAAATATCTTTACAACAAAAACTACAACAAAATGGAATAATGGTCAAAGCTTTAATATTATTTTTTAAAATATAACAAATTAACTATGGTATTCTTCTTTGATCTTCAAAGTTGAGCATTATTATTATATGAAACATTAAACCATAATTGTATGAATAAAAAACAAGATCCAAAAACCCACAAGACTGCAAGGTGAACAGAGTAGAATAAATGCAGTTTCTATATCCTACCTCTTAGTCGTCTGCAATCCAAAAGACTAACAAAGACATAATGAAAAGGATCTGACAATTTTCGACAAATAGCTTTGGCCAGTGACGTTTTTCCGGCACCCTTAGGTCCCGTAAGCAGTAAACTATAGCCACTCCATGGTGACCCCGCAGTCAGACAATTAGCAGAAGGAACAAGCCCAAGTCCAAGTTCAAAGAATGCTATTGCCTTATCAGCTAATTCTTTAACTGCCCTGAAAGTGAAGATTTATCTAATCATTGATAGCTTATGATACAGTTTAGAGTAGTGCTTAGAAAACTTATACTTAGTCAGCCAAGAGTTTAAGTTATTCAACTGCAAGCTAATGTATTATTGTAACATATTCTGTAGTTGGATGGGTTCTTTTGGATTATCTGGTAAAAATAATGTGAAATCCAGTTTATATAACAATAACAAATTAGCTTATTTCTTCTTTAATATTTGCTACAGGCTACAACAAACAAACATAATCAAAATTTTAATATCTAAGAATTTAAATTTAAGACAGTAATGAAACCTGATTTGGTTCATTCAGTGGCCTAACGCTACTTGCTCTATCAGCATTAAACACATATCACTGAAAAGGAATACTGAAACGTATTATGCTTGGACAGTATAAATTTACTACCTCTATGATACATTTACTAAGTATTTTATATTATGACCTAGTTTGCATGTAAACAAGACCTGAATTCAGGGTATTAGGTGGGCTACAGAGAAGTGTCACAGTTTTTGGTATTCAAGTTAAAACAAAAGAAAATGTATTGTGATAAAGGGCTTGATCTGTTAACCTCAAAAAATAACACTACTGCCAAAAGAACTCAATTCTAAATAGTGTTTGGCCATGAAGATGCAGTTGTGTTCCACTTGTACAAAATAGAAGAATTGTTCATGTTCAGGCAGGGACTGTACTTAGCCACCTAACAGCAGTAAGTAAGCTTCACTGAATCTTCTCATCAGCTATCTCTATCAACAGAATTTGTGAAGACCATGGAGAAAATAGCTTTAAAGAGATGAGAAACCACATCTTGTACTGCTCAACATATGTGACCACCACTATGTTTTGTGTGAGATTCTGGACTGGGGTATGGGTTTTACTCCCTCACAGCTTGGAGACTAGTGTGAATTCAGCCATGCTGGAGGGCAATTCAGATTCCAGATATCACAAGGAGTTTAAATCTCTATTCAGAATTTTTAAAAATGAGAGTATCAAAAAGTCTTGTTTGTGGATAAACCCACAAAACATCCCAGACTTGGTATTAAATACAGTCAAATTTCTGGACATTTCAACATTTAAAACTCATTAGTTCAGATTTTTAAAGGTTTTAAGCTTAGAAACGAAAAACTTGAAATTATTTTTGTACAAAGTCTCCACTAATGATTAAACTTATACAAGTACACTATTCAGTTACAAGAATTAAACTTAGTATTATTATGCCTACCCTAATTCTGCAATTTGACATCCAACTTTTCCAAAGTCTAATTCTTCCATTAAACGAATGGGTAAGTGTATGCCCCATGGCATCATGGGTATTAACTTTACATCTTGAACTTTGCATATAACAAAATCAGACTTCACAGCCTCTGGGATGAGATACCAGAGACAGGTGGAAGATGGTGTAAAATTAGGTTTATCCTTTTGGGGGAGGTTATTTGTAGTTGAAGCAGGAGTTGCATCCAACTCAGGAAGAGCTTCTGGTTTCAGAATAAAGTCAATATTTTTACCTATCAAAAATACATGTATACAAAAATATCATTATTTTCATTTATCACATATTTACATTCCTTATCAAAACATGAGTAACAAAAATAAACATTTAGAAGATATTATTATAAAAGATTAATTATTAATTAGCTTCACTTTTTAACTTTTTACGACACATTCAACTAATTCACTTTGCATTTAATGTATTAATGATTTAAATAACTTTGCCTTCTTTACAAATGGAACTATTTCAATATAACTACACAGATGTCACATTATTACATATACAAGTAAACATTTTTTAGCTTAATACATACCTAATTTTTTAAAATTTTTAACTGAATAAAGTAATGAAATATGGCACAACATGGTTTATTCATTAGAGAAAAAAATTTTAAACATGTGCTGGGTTGGTCCATTGGAACGATCCTGTACTGGAAAAAGAATGTTTACTATAATTCCAAGTTTACTATGTGTAATCTCACAAAATGTGGCAACCTATTAATAAAATATACAAGTCTGTTATATACTACAAATCAGATGTGTTACAAAAGTATTTATACTCAAGACTTGTCTGTGAACTGACAAACATAAGTCTGACACACTCTGAAAGAGTGCAAGGTAATGTTCATGTGAAAATTTAAAATTGTTTTCTCCATTATACAGTTTGTATATTATATTTGCATAACCTCTAGAACCTCTAAAATACATATCTACAGTATCCCTGTAAACTGTATCTGGTATTTATTCTTCTCTACCATGAACTTTCACTAAATCAGCAATGTAGGGTAAAATGAATAATTAATAAATCTGAAATCAAATACATAACACTGTTGAATGGTACTAATTAAATGTCATGGAATGCATACTTTAATCCTCACCTACACATGTAGGGTTAGAAATGCAAAGCAGATCATTTAAATATTGTAATACAATTTACCCTATACAAGTATGAAGCAGAATAAAATAAAACATTTAAAGATCACAACAACCCACAAAATCAGGATCATTACAACTAACTTATATTGCACTGGTATAGCTTGTACAAATAACAACATTCCTCTCACAACACAACTAAAAACTCCAGAAAAAATATCCATAAAAGCTTCAGCATGTTACCATTTATAATGATACAAAGCAATATATCTTTCTAATTGCAATAAAATATTTTTTATTCTTACTAGGTGCAGTTAAAATCTATGCAAATCAGAGTGAAAGTTGTTCCTTACATTTCTTATGAGCAGTGTAAGTAAATCAACTAAGTCTTAGATGCCAATCAAAAATGTTTAAGTCCAATTGTAATTTTACAAGTGTACTTTTGAGTGTCATAACTAATGACATAAATGTCAACATACAATGTAATAAAAAAAAATATTAACTTAATTTGAACAAGTAACTTTCTAACTTACTGTTGTAATACATAACCATATTATGAGCAAAATGACAGAATACAGCCACTGTACTAAACTTACATTTCAAGTAGATGATACTACACATATTAAAATGTTACAATCAGTTTTATTACTGGCAGATTAAAGAATACTGTGCATCTGCACTTAGTTTTCTTTAAAAAAGTGAATCAAGAAAATATTTTTTTTGTATAAAAGGCATTCTCTGGTGCTAAGAAATAATTGTGCAACATTTTAATCTTAGTATTTTGCTGCTACAGCTTATAAAGATACACATTCAGATGATGCAAATGCTTAACCTTTGGTTTTAATCATTATTCAAATCAGACAAAAAAAAAATGATTAACCAGCAATATACTAGTTGCCACTTCATCAAAATCTAATGACTGTACATTTGAAGAGTGGCTAGAAAGAAACAGAATAATAAATGTACCCATAGGACTGATCCTAAGGAGATGAGGGAACAAGATTAGTCTCTTGTACTTTTTACAGTGAAGATGGAAGCCCATGCATTTATTCTTGTTTTAATTACAAGTATGCATATACCAGCACTAGTATACAAAAACTATATAAAAAATACAATTTTAATTGTGTAAATAGTAAAGGATGTTTTTAATTATTTATTATAATTTTAAATATTAAACAAGTCCCAGTAATTCATATCAAGATTATTTTTGGTAGAACTTTATATTTAATCTATTTTTTTCTGTACCTCAATACTAACAATAGCAAAAACATCTGTAGAGTTGGAAAATATGAAAAATTAAAAAATAACCTTTTACTTTCCTTTCTAGAAATAGACCAGTGTTTCCCAAACTATGTTCCGTGGAACACTGGTGTTCCATCCAAGATTGATAGGTGCTCAGTGAGAAAATCATGATTTTAAATTTTGATAAAATATTTAACTTTTTGTACGATCATAACTTATTATGAAATAATTTCCTATGTATTAGAATTAGATAATACTGATTTCACACTGAAGAAGAATTATAGAAGATGCCATATCCATTGTACATAATATCTTAGTGGAGAGGTTTGTACCTAAAATATATTATAAACATAAAAATGTAAAAAGTCATTAATATGTAATTTTATTAAATAAATAAATGAATAATATACAAATCTAGAGGGCATTGCACATGCAACATACCCTCTACACCAATATTTTCTGTGTCTAGTGTTAGATAAGCTGAAAAGTGTTCCGTGGCCAAAAAAGTTTGGGAAATGCTGTAATAGACAATTATAACTATTGATCCTAAATAGTATCAGGCTTCTAATAGTTTCATTTAATTTTATTGTTATATTTCCTATTGAACCATGAAAAACTAGCATAACAAAGCAATAAGTCACCCAATGAGAATTTAGGATAAACAAATTATCAAGTTACATCACACAACAGCTGCCTATGTATGTTCCTCGAAGAAAACATTTTACTTAATATTTTTTTACTTAAGTTTTCTTACCTACCCTAATAAGATTATAATTTTAAAATTTTAGTTCATTTTGTTAAAAATCCATAAAAGATATACATAAAAACCATGAAATTTAGCACTTACTTTAGCCTTGAGGCCTATTGCACTTTGGTAGTGACACTATTTCTTTCTCACTATGTTGGTTGTTCAGAAATAATTCACAGCTTCCAAATATGCATTTTATAACACAAAAAATACATCATGTACTAGAACAGACTGTTTCAAAACTACTAAAATTTATCTAGCTTACTGCTCAGAGCATCATCCTTAGTCAAAATATATTTAGTTCTCCTTGTGAAATATTGGCTTTGAACACTAAAACAAAAGCAGACAATTCTATGACTTGTGTAGTTTAGAACATATTCTTTGTATTGGTTATAAGCATGGTCCAATAACAATGTCAGAAAGAATTATAGTGATATCTCAGTAAGGCAAGACAAGATTGAAATTTCATATTTTGGCTTCTCAATATCTATGGTAGTGTTTCCAGCTGATTGAATGAACTGAAGCACTGAGAGAAGAGAAATAATTTAAAAATTAGAAGTCAGTGTGCCACTGTGTCATATGATTCAGAGGTGTAGATTGAGAATTTAAAGGTTTTCTCTTCAAATTAAGAAACTAAGACTTAAATAATATAACATTTGAATTATAAACTACATTTTGATGCAGAGTGTATTAACATGCATTGATAATAAAGTAGTTTAATTTGATTTTGAAAGTAATTCTGTACAAAAAAAAATCATAAAATGTGCATTTTGACCTTCGCTTGTCCTAAGGATGAAATACAATTATGCCAAGTGATATAAATACACAATTACTACAAGTATCTCTGACATAGAAAACTAAACAGGAACAGTCACTAAGAATTTCAGCTAATGGATAAAATGTCTACTCACAAATTTTTTATTAAAAAATTTATGCTAGTACCTATCAGAGGATATTTTACAACATTTCAATATAGTAAAGTTAAAAATAAAGGAACCAACTAGATCATGTCATCTCAGAAAAACATGCACAGTATCAACTACACTCAATGTTTATCAGACTTAACTACAATGTATGTACATAAAGGTTAAAAAACAAACTGACCATCGACAGAAAGTGAAACTAAAGTTCCAGGCATGACCACAAGTGGATAAAAATTGTTACTAACACCTCCTATCCAATTTTTGAACATCTCTATGACACTTTCAGTGGAAACCTTGACCTGTTTACAAAAAAAATACATATGAATTTAATTTTCTTGAAGATAAAAGGAACATATATTTAATTAACTTAAATTTAAAGTAATAAAAATTTGATGAACTAAAATTATGTTTTGAATTACAGTAAAAATCAGTTTTGCATTCAAAATATTTCAATGTGCAAATTAATTTAAGAATTCTTAATCATACTTGTATTTCATATTCTTCTATAGTAGTTCAGTTAACATTATATTATGAAGCACAAACACAAATAAAACAACAAATTAATTGTACTATTTTGCTCATTTAACTCTGGTTCAAGTCTACTGATCAATAGATGTTCCTTTATGTACAGTTCTTATTCATTATTTGCTTTAACAAGGACTCCAAACTGTCCCCTATTTATGAGTTCATTACTTTCATTTAATACATTGTTCATCATTGTGAAAAATGACACTGATTTCAAATTTGCACTGTCTCGTATGTGAACTTGGAGCCACCTAATAGTACAGCATATGTAGTTTTTGAACATAGACATTTGATCTTTAAATTTTAAAACTGTTACAAAGTACATTCAAATTTGAAAAGACATATCTTAATTCAACTTACAGGTGTAATTTATTTTTAATTAAAATTGCTTGTTTGCCTGTAAATAGTAGTAGCAAACCAATTTTCTTTTGAGTAGAATTCTAGTTTGGTTGTTTAGGAATGTTCATACCATTTAAATGATCATGATAATATGGTTTATAATACCTATTGGAAAAGTGATTTTAATTAAGAACTTCTTATATTTTTGAGTTCTTTAAGCAAGAAGTCATATGTAATGGTTGTTCTGCATGTCAGATTAACTGGAATTTTAATCATGTTCTTTTTAAAAGAAATTGGTATAAACTATGAAAATTAAACTCAAACCTGTAATACTGATATGCTTATTGTTGGAAAAACTCTCCTCTTGTTCAGCATCTTTAAAAATAATGAAAGTGCCAGCTATAAATTTCATCACGCCAGCATTTTACATGGTAGCAAAGGAAAACTTTCTGACTGATGGGGTTCATCTTAGTTCCATATTTATACCACCTACTTGATCATACAAACTATTTTTGAATTGAAAATAAGATTCCTTTGTACCAAAATTCATGAGTTTCTGAAACATATACTTAAGAAAAATCCTTTCATTACTTTCATTCAATGTTGTAGCAAGAGGAGGGCAAGGGGGCAGTCGCACTCGGATGCATGTGTGAAGGGGTGCAAAATTACCTCTGGCCTCTAATGCCTATTGATTAATAATTATGCCCTCCCCTAGGATATAGCGCAACTGCCCTACATTAAGTAAATATGACACAGTGTTACGTTGTTTGTGTGTATTACGCTTGCAGGTTTAACTTTTAAAAGCCGCCCACTGAAATACAGTGAAACCGAATTGACGCACAGAAGTAAATTACACTATTCCACCATTCATCTGTGGATCAAATACAAGTCCTAGAGTACAACGTACAAGTAAGTGTATGTTCAACAAAAAGAAAATACGAGATTGATGTAACATATTAACTGATGTGCAAGATTGGCATTATGGGCCTAATGTAGTGGTTTGTAATTGTATTGGCTGATTGTAAATCATGTCTTACACCAACTAATGTACTAGACTTTAGGTCTAATTGCAGTTATAACTTTATTTTTAGACCCTAGGTCCATCATCAAACAAATTGTAGCCTATATTATAGGCATACTTAGAACTATACTAACTATTAAACTAGGCATTGCACTGGAACAGATCTAATGACTAAGTTAATAGATCTAGATGTAACATTTGTTCCAAAAGTTAGGCCTAATAAATCTAAATCTAGAATTGATGAAGCAGTTATATCTAGATCTGGGTAGATTCAATACAAGGTGCTTTCAATCTATGCACCCAAGTCTGAAGTCTAGTTTAGATGTATAAAGCCAAATTTCTGTCATTATTATTACATCTAGATCCAAACCTAAGACTAAAAAGATGGAAAAAACAAGTCTAACATTAATGTTAGATATAGAGATACTAGCGACTTAATCTAGGAACTGTAATCTAGCACCATTAATTAGTTAGCCTATATTTAAGTTTTCTCATTCTATCAAAACCTTTAATATTAAATATAGCCTTTGAGCCTCTTTGCTTATATTATGTTATGATTACACCCTTCTCCACAGTGTGTGTAATTTTTATTCGAGCAATTTCAGACTTGTCTTCTGTAGTTTGTGTAGCTAAACCTATCGAGTTTTTAAATGTGATTTAGCAACTGCCAGTAATTTATATGGTGCTCATAAACATGATTTACCAGCATATACACTTATCTGCATTTATTTTCTTACTGTTTTTTGTTTGTTTGTTTGTAATTAAGCACAAAGCTACACAATGGGCTATTTGTGTTCTGCCCACCACAGGTATCGAAACCCTGATTCTAGCGTTGTAAGTCCGCAGACATACCGCTGTGCCCCTGGGGAGCTTCTTACTGTTGTGCCACATTAATTAACATGAGTATAGGTGGTCTAAATAATGGCAGTTAAAGTGAAACCAGGTCCAGATATGCCTAACTAGTCCTAAGTTGCAACTATAATTGTATAATTTATTATATAATTTGTGGTTAGGAACTTAGGAAAGTAGAATGCTTCCTTTCATCTGACAATTTGCATGTTGCAACTAATTAGTGTAGTCAGTATTTATTAATTTATTCTTTTAGCCCGTTATGTCGAAAAAAGAAAGTGGGGCACAGGGACGCAAAAGACATGCACAATTTGCAGCTTCAATGGTGGAGTCAAGCAATTTGATGAGAGTTTTCCTTGCTGGAAGTGATGACACCAGTAAGCCAGCATCTGTTCCTTTTGATGGCAGCAAAGAGGTCAAAGTGCAAGATTGTGAACATGCTATTTCATTTGAAAAAGAAAACAATGACAAAACTGTTCTCTGTCCTGTTGAAAGTTACAATAATAATAAGCATAAGCAAGAGGATTCCACTTTGTCAGAAAGAAATCCACAGAATAGTGTTGCTAAGCTAAAAGAGGATGACCTAATAAATATTTTAACACAGGG